TCCAAAGAATACAGCGTGACAATTAGCCGGATTTGAAGAGGAGAATCGCCACCTGTCCCATGTAAAAGTAGATGAAGTGCTTGGATTCGTGCGTCACGTAACTACAAAATTAAAATACAAAAAGAACGTCAAATGTTTGTTTATTTGAATCGCGCGCGTCTACCTTGATGGCGGTGGATTTAATTTCAAGCGTGTCAGTGGATTTGAGGTTCTGAAGTTCTGACGTGATGCAAATTATTCGCGGTTCATACGAGCATTACTCGCCTTTTCTCTCTCAGGCAGAAGCTGAAATAAGCGGTTTGTTGTAGAGAATAAAATTTCATTTCGTAAATAGTCAAAATGGGAAGCGTATTCAAGGCAAGGCGGCTGAAGCAGATTGTTTTTCCTGACTACATCTGACTGAGTTTGCCATGTCCTTCTGATTACCTCCAAGAGAGATGCAGTCAACACCAGCAGAACATGACCGACTCCTGGTGTTACAATGTGCTTGCCGAATATGCATTGTTCGATATGTGTGCTGATTAACTCATATGTAAGCCAGTTTACTCAAGGTAGCTTATCGTAGAGCCAGTTTACAACTGGAAAATTTGCATATTGTCCGTCAGCAACGCCCAAACGGCATCTGTCACCTCCCACCTCGAAGCTAAGCAGAAATCCACCGCCTGACAGCTTAATTTAATTCTTTGTGCAATCTGTGAGATTGTTTTTTACGTTTGACTGGATTGAAAGCGCACTTACAAACATTCAAACGTGTGAGCGATGCAAATCAACCTGGTCTCATCTCGCATTTCCCGGAGCTGAGTTCGCGTATGTGGTTTTTTTGGAATTTGTCGAAGGAAAGGTGTTGATGAAAAGTGGACGTGTGCTCCATTACCTGTGAGCGTCGTCTCACAGTCACAAATCTCGCAGTTTGTCTGGAACACATCGAGTGTGGCTACGTGTGGGAGCGCAGACATATTGGACCAACCTGGCCTCCGCCAATCCTCTCTCTCTCTGCGTTCCAATGGCATGTAAGGAGGATAGGTAGCCAACCAGAGAAAGACACGAATGAGGAGCAGTATATCTTGAGCGGCGTGTCTAGTGTGGTGGACTCGGATGGACGCCGCCTGAGGTGTGGTTCTGGCTTGTGATTGGTCAATAAAGCCTGTTCTGTTATACCGGTCTTTTTCCTATTAGGACTCGGGTAGTCTACACGAGTCACATGTCAACTAATAGTCATACACATGATTATAATTGGTGTGTTTTTAGCCAATCATTTTGAAGGGATCGGACTGGCAGCGACCACGTGTCAGTGAAGCCTGTTTAATGGCCTGATAGTGTTAATGACTCACCTTTATAGCACTGGCTGCTGTCACCATCCGCTCACTTATTCTTGTCCCACTTGCTGGGCTGTAATTAAGTGTTTAGCAAGCAACTGCAATTGTTCCCTCTGCGTAAATCAGTTGTGTTCATTACCGCGAGATGGTGTTTGGTCAGAGAGCCTTTTGGGTCAGTTCACCACCGATTTTGTTTTACTGATCTCGTGCCTGCTGTGTTCTAACATTCTTCATGGCAATCGATCTCTTAGGCAGTTTGCCAGCTTCGTTGCCATAGCTGCAAGTTGTCATAACAACGAGCAATGATTTTGTTATAATGGAGTATTAACCAGGTCACAGTGTGTGTGCCGATTTAGTCCTAAATCTTCATACCCAGGGTATATTATCCTTCAACTGCCAATAACAATGCCTGTTCAGAACGCGGAAATTTTGGATGCAAAACACGATTTTGAAATAACATTTTTGTTACTGTTGATACTGTAAATCATTTCTCTTTTCTGAAAAAAACTTGAATTTTTTTCTAATTCCACTCAGAATTTCCACCAAAATGAATAATATTTTGTGGGTATTAGGCATTTTTTGCATTAGTGTTAATGTAACCAATCGTGATTCGCTTGCGTAAATCACCTACATTCTGACATCAATTCAGTTAATTTCCACAAGACGATTCATAGATGCCTTATTGGTGAGTTAACTAAGAAATCTGGGTTTGTTTTACTGATCTGGAACACTATATTCGCGGTAACTTGACACTCGATCACAGAGAAAGCCTAGCCGTTCAACATCTTTGCTGTAGTGGATTTTTTGTGTGCAAGTCGAACCGGTAGATTTCACCCAGAATTATTGATAAATTATGAGTTTTTTTAGTCAGATAAGCATCAACCCACAAGCATGTATTCAATTATCACCAAGCAGCGTAATTAACACATCAGAATTCAAAGTCGTGAAACAGCAAATTGATAAGTCACAACACCAGAAGAGATGCTGAAAATCGATTTTAATAAAGCTCCAAAGAATACAGCGTGACAATTAGCCGGATTTGAAGAGGAGAATCGCCACCTGTCCCATGTAAAAGTAGATGAAGTGCTTGGATTCGTGCGTCACGTAACTACAAGACAAAATACAAATCGAACGTCAGGTGCTGGCTTGTTTGAATTGCGCGCGTCCACCGTGATGGCGGTCGATTTAATTTAAAGTGTGTCTTACCTGCCAAAGTTTCGGCCAACGATGCAGTGCCACGTGGGGCCGTACTTCGAGTCGAACTTCTTCTTGATCGCGGCAGCAATGTCCTTCTCGATCGTCTGGTTCTGCATGGCTTCACTGGCGCAGTCGACGGCGTCGTGTTGCATCTCATCGGACATGTCGGCGTTCTTCACTACGGCCTTCTGACTTTGTCCGCCATAGCTGCCGGTATTGGTGTTGCTCTGGTAGCTCATGCTGGTGCTTGTGTAATACGACTGATGAATTGTCGGTGAGCTTGCTTATATCACCACCAGCTACTCCTGTTACCATGGTGCTTGCACAGCCCATAATCCCTGCCACACGCTGCGCCAATCATCACTACCTATGGTCTTCTCTTGGCACCAGTGAGCAAGTCGAGGTGGCAGATTGCTTGTGGTGGCATCGATTTTGCATGATACAAAGAAACGCGTGGCAAATTTAATACAAGATCCACGCCACAGCTTCGAATAGTTAGTTTTTCGATGAAAAAGCACGCGCAAAAGACGAAAAACCACAAAACTTGGTTCTGCGTGATCGCACAACACAATACTTTCAATCAAAATGTATTAGTTAATAAAGTAATGCCTTATCACAAGTTGAATTCGGTGCTTAAATAACTCAATCCCCAGAAACGGCAGGTTTTTCTACACAAATTCCTTCATCAAGTTCGTCAGTGGATTACATGAAGTCGCCTCAGACATTTTACCTCGCCTAGGTTGTAGTTCATTGAACAGACACAAATTTAACACATGATTATCACTGTGTCTATTGACAGATTGCAAGAGGTTTGCGTGCTTATGATGCTTTTCTATTGGCACAACTGATAAACTGAGCATTTTGGTCAAAAACACCTGGCTAGCCAATCAGCAACAGCCTGGGCTACACAGCATGAGTTGTAATCACGCCGAACTCATTCCCATTGACATATTGGCTGATATCAGAAAA